GTCTTTTTATTTTGTTTATGGTATTTTGGGATGTATCTCACAACCCTGAGATCATGACCTGAGCCGAAGGCAGTCGCTTAACCAACTGAGCCACCCAGGCACCCAGCCCTAAGAAATTTTAACTAGTAAAATTTTTGTTGCAAATTATTTCATAGACTCTAGGTGTACTTTAGTTAATATTACTTTGTAAAGTAGATAAAATATTTTATTTATGTCCATAAAATAGCAAATGCCTGATAACTATTAGCAAATTATTATATTATCCTTTCTGGTCTCAGCTGGAAGAGTTAACTGCTGTCCTCAGTGTGCTAACATGGCCATGGCCATCTCTTAGTATGTATTCCTTTAGCAACCAATGTGTCAGGAAATATCCAGCAATTCTGAAGCAAGTCTTCAAATTAGCAAAGTACCAAGCCCATCTCCTCCTTTCACCCCTCTCTCCCGCTAAAAAAAAGAAAAAGAAAAAACTTATTTTAAGCTGCAGGAAAAGTATGAAGCTATCTTTGAGGCAGAATAATGTGAAAATTACATATACTAATTTTTTTAAATAAGCTTAGGGCAACAGAAGCACCGGAGGGATAGAATTTTGAGAACCTAAAATAATATGAAATTGTGAAGAAGGATCAGTAACTACAGAAGCAGAAACTGTAAAATAAATATTTGTCACGCATAAGAAATTTCTGAGGTCAGTACTTTCTTATAGTGGATTATTATAGTTGATGTTCATAGTGTTGACCCTGGAATCTTCCCTAAGAAGCTGGGGATTTGGTACCAGGGGGTAGTATTTTACTAAGCAATAAGTCAAAGCATTTTGGGACCCATTCTATCAAAAAATGGTTTAATTTTTTTAAGTTATCATTTCTATAAATGTGAGTGAAAAGTTTATGTATGTGGATCATGTTTATTACCTAATAATGTAAAATAAGGTATTTGTGTTCTAAAAAGACATTTAAAAATATTAGCATTTAATCATGAGAACTACCCTATTTAGGGTCTATATAGATACAGTTTATAATGTTTCATGTTCAGCCAACATCTTCAAGTGCTAATGAGCAAAATAGTTAAAACAGATTGTCAGTTTGGAAACAATTTGTAAATTTGTACAAGACACAGTACTGCTAACGATAAGCTGACCATGACAATGTCCTTTCCTTGAATTTTTATATAATAATATTTTCTAAGTCATACTGATTTTAAATCATGATTCCAACCTAATTATTAGTTCAGTAGTATTTTTAAGACAGAACTAGCCAGATAGTCTTTTCTAGTTGTGTGTGTATGTGTGTGTGTGTGTGTGTGTGTGTGTTTTAAGTGTTATCAGTTGTAGCAATCATGATGAATGTTAATCCTCAAAAGGAGAATTATGAGAAATATTTACTTGTTTCAAATTGTAAAATAATTGAAATTTTGATTAAAAATCAAAATCTATATAATTATCATTGTATTAATAAACAAGTTAGGAATATTTGTAAAGTTTTATGAACCATTATTAAACTTGCTTATTTCTAAGGTCTATTATAAGACAGTTTTAGATATAATAATATATGTTTCCAAAAACTCCCCAAATATTAAAATGCTAATATAGAGTTTTAAATTAGTGAAAATTTGCATTGACTTAAAATAATGAGGTAGGTATTTTTATTGTTTCAAATTTAGTCAAATTTACTTTTTAAAATGCCAATGTAATTAAACATTGAATAAAATAGTGCTTCTACAAACTTAATAAAAACAGAATATTTTTCATATTCAGCAAAAGTAGTTGAATATTTTAAGATGATTGTTATTTACTTATCTTTTACATTTTTATGCATATTTTAGCCAGTTTTAGGCTCTAAGGGATGGTGACACATTTTTAAGTTTTGTTATAATATCTTCCATACAACACTTTTTTTTTTTTTTTAAGGTTTTATTTTTAATAATCTCTACACCCAACATGGGGTTCGAACTCACAACCCCGAGACCCGGAGTTGCATGCTCTACCCACTGAGCCAGCCAGGTGCCCCTCATACAAGTCTTTTTTAATTTTTCTTTGTAGTTGAACAAGTTGGGTTTGTTGTTGTTCTTTGCAACAAATGAGAACAACACACATCAGAGGCTTGTGTTAATACAATTCTTTCTGGTTGCATGGTATGGCAGTCTGAAGTAAGCCTTAATAGAGCTAAAAATCACTCCCTGCTATTCTCTGCTCTGATAACATAAAATAATGTTTTATCATCCTCTTTCACAAATGGTTTCTTTAATGGAACCCTTGTGTTACATCTTACCTTAAACTACTTTTTAATTTTCCTTTATTTTTTTTAAAGATTTTATTTATTTATTTGAGAGGCAGAGTGAGCAAGAGAGAGTGAGTTACAGGAGCAGGGGCAGAGGGAGAGAGAGAGAAGCAGACTCTCCTGCTGGGCAGGGAGACCGACACGGGGCTTGATCCCAGGACTCTGGGATCATGACCTGAGCTGAAGGCAGATGCTTAACCAGCTGAGCCACCCAGGCACCCTTTAATTTCCCTTTAAAAACTGAATTACAGTTTCTGTTTATTTCTCATTTGTATGATTTCCTGGAAGTAGTTTGTATGTTTGAGAATCTGTTGCCACTTTTTAAATAAATAAATAAATAAATCCCAAAATAAGATTTTGACATCAGTAAAAGCTGGACATTCTTACATCTTTGAACTTCAAATCATATCAGTATTTTCTGAAGAAAGTTCCACTTGTGAATATATTTTCTTTGTAACAAACTGGTATAAATTTTAGACACTACTGTGTCTCTACGGAGTGCAGTGATCTGAAAGAATTCCCTGTACAAGGTATATTATTAAACATGAAGCTTAAGGTTAGGTTTCTCATTTGAAATTCTTTTGATATGCTGAGGTTGCAGCATGGTTGGAGGTTAATTAAAGGAAAGAGCGTCAAGATGATTAAGATGGCATTAGTAAGGGGCACCTGGGTGGCTCAGTGGGTTAAGCATCCAACTCTCAATTTTGGCTCAGGTGATGATCTTGAGCCTGCATCAGGCTCCAAGCTCAGCTGTGAATCTGCTTGAGATTCTCTCTCTCCCTCTGCCCCTTTTCCCCACGCACATGCGCACTCTCTTTCCCAAATAAAATCCTTTTTTCAAATGGTATTAGTAAAATAATTCCCAATTTTACATTGTGTGTTGGTAGTAACCCTGGTTTTAACTTCTCTTAGTTTCAGTTTCAGTTATTTTCAACTTACTTTCAGTTTCAATATCCATAAGTTTTTACTTTGAAGATATTTATAGTATGCAAGTGCTTGAAAAAAAATTTCTTAAACATCCCGTCTGGATAGTTTAGTGGTATACTAATGGTGTCACTGAGATTTTTTTGAAGTTAGATATTAATAGGAAAATATTTTTTATAAAATTTTTGCATTTAACTTGTAATTAGAGCATGTGAAGGTTACTAATATAGTGGGGAAGTAAACTTTGCTACCTGTAATAATTTTGTTAACACTCGGAGTATAAGTAAATTAGGTGTATTGAGAACAGAAACCTTGTTTTTTCTATAATAGTTGCCACTGAGCAATTTTTATTAAAAACCGAACAAGTAAAAAAGCTTACCAAAGTATTTATACAGGATCAGTTACACAGAATGACTGATTATGGGAGAAATTTGTCATTTGGTGATAAAAAAAAAAAGATAATGTAAAAGTGGATTGCTGCTGTTCACATTAATAAGCACTCATTGTTGAAGGTAAATGGTTGAAATTGCATATTTTTGCTTGATTTTATAATGACCTACTCACTTTTGTAGAATAAATCAGTTGCTATATGAAGTATCACTTAAATAGTATGCACCATTTGATGATGAAGCACTCCATGTTTTGTAATCCTTATGCAGAATTATTCTTTATGATGATGGGCCTAGGTGCTAAGTCCCTCATAGTCAGTCTTCTTTGCCCCATGGGACTTAGGACAATCTTTGCATAATAAAAATTAATTTTCAAAGGATGGTATTGGTGGTGGCCCCAAGAACAAAACATTCAGAAGAAACAGCATTTGAATTGGGTACCCTGAATGTGAAGAGATGATAGATATTCATCAAGTGTTTATTGACCTCTTTGTATGTGCTGGGTACTGTGCTAGGTGCAAGGATACAGTGATATGCAAAAACCATACATGCATACCCCAACTTTAATGGGCCAGTATTGTTGGAGAGATAGGCAGTTCGTTTCACAAATTGTAAAACAATTGCAACAAATGGAGAAATAAAACATATAGGTCTGAAGTAGCAAGGGAATGTATAATTGAAGAATTAGATGAGAAAAGCCTTCCCTTTGGCAAAGATGCTTAAGCTAAAATCTTAGGGAAAAGTAAAAGTTAACTAGGCAGAGATGGGAGGGAAGACTATCTAGACAGGGAATAGTGGGTATGTAGAAGGAAATGAAAACCCATCTGGCTGAAGTTTAGTAGTTCATGAAACTGAACAGGTTAAAATGGCAGCAGTCCATACCTGACATTCTAAGACATGTTTTCTTTGTCAGGGCTTTTGTTTAGAAGTATCAGAAACGTGCTTTTAATATTAAAAGCTAAGATACACAATTCTATTCTTGATATATACCCAGAAATACATGTACAGATGCCACAAGGGATATGTGCATAGTAACATGATTCATAATAGCCAAAAATTGGAAACAGAATGTCCATCAACATAGAGTGGATAAATAGGTATAATAACGCAGTGGAATGTTATGCAATGAAAATGAATGACTAAAACCACATGTAAAAACATGGAGAATTTCACGAGCATT